CATCTCCCACACATATATGACTATTGCTAATTCCTCTCCCACACATATATGGCTATTATTAATTCCTCTCCCACACATATATGGCTATTATTAATTCATTTCCCACACATATATGGCTATTGTTAAACATATATGACTATTATTAATTCCTCTCCCACACATTCGATGCACCTCACTCGCAGTACGGCGCGGGTAATGTCAAGACGGGCTCACGTCTGGTATGCCTGGTGCCCCCATTGATCCTGGCGACTTTTTTCAAGAAAATCGAGATCATCTTCACGCTGTCGGGCATGTTTGGCTTTGTGCTGAGCTTGGTGCTTCCATGTGCTCTGCAGGTATGTCCATGGCACGCGGTTAGAAAACTGTGCTTGCATGTAGCGTATGCTTGGGTGACGACTCTTGTGCTGTAACGGTACCTGTTCTGCAAGAATCGAGATACAATGCGGGTGTACTATCGATGCTCCGTATCACGAGAGTGTCTATGAGTCCGTCAGACGGGTTCACCATAAGCAGTTCTTTGCTCGGGTGCTATTCGCTTGCGCTTAATAGTTTCAGTTGTGGTCTGTCGTAGTGTGCACTTTCCCATACGTTTCGGTTAGTTCTCTTGCGAATTGTACTGAGACACAAAGTATGTGCTAGAGACCGTCTTATGGTGTATGCAGTGTACACGTACCGTATGAGAAGTGAAGCCACGAGGTTGACTTGTTCACTTGCAAATCCGTTACATTTCTTCGGTCTGCTCGGCTCCCGCAGAGTATTGCTTATTACTTTGCCGGTTATGTTGCTGACCTGATATGTGTCTTGTTTGATGAATACGTATCAGTACCACCACTCATCATTCTTCGCGAGCATGTGCATCTTTTTGTCGTTCTGTATGACGGTGGTAGTGTGTATAACGGACTTTATGTGCATCTATTTATCATTGTGTATGACAGTGATAGTGTGTATAACGGACTTTATGTGCATCTATTTATCATTGTGTATGGCGGTGGTAGTGTGTATAACGAACTTTATGTGCATCTATTTGTCATTGTGTATGACGGTGGTAGTGTATAATTATCTATTTATCATTGTTTATGACCGTGGTAGTGTATATAATAATCTATTTATCATTGTGTCTGACCGTGGTAGTGTGTATAATGTACTTTATGTGCATCTATCTATCATGGTGTATGACCGTGGGAGTGTGTTTAATTATCTATTTATCATTGTGTATGACGGTGGTAGTGTGTATGATTATCTATTTATCATGGTGTATGACGGTGGTAGTGTGTATAATTATCTATTTATCAATGTGTATGACGGTGGTAGTGTGTATAATTATCTATTTATCATTGTGTATGACGGTGGTAGTGTGTATAATTATTTATTTATCATTGTGTATGACGGTGGTAGTGTGTATAATGGACTTTCCTTGCGGTCTTGTGTATATGAGAACCGCAGCTACAGCGCCGGGATGTCCACAGCCACTTGTTGGATCTAGGCTCTGTATATGTTCTGTGTACTGACCTATATCCGGACGGTTCATATCTATCACATCGCATACTCTGATAGATGTATAATATATTGTACGTCATCTATACCGTATATATATATATATATGTATATATGTACATACATACATACATACATACATACATACTATATATATATATATATATATATATATACCAGTATACCAGTATGCGCTTGTCTTGTACTGAGCTGTTTCCCTCCTCTGTCCGATTCTGCTTTGCTAGGTGGCTTCCTTGGATTACTGCACAAGGACCTTCGGTAATATTAAATCGTCCATCACGCCATACTCTGTCGATATCATCAGCGAACGTAAATTCTCCAACGTTATGTTCTGGGTGTCTACGGTTATTACCGGTGTCGCAGTGGTGACATTCTTTTTGCCCAAAGCCGTTTGAGGGTTGTGTAGTATGCCGGGATATAGTCGAGCTATATCGGAATATATACGAATAAATCATTTAATCGTGGACTGTCTGCGGAACAAGTTGTATGATGTGATATGAATAACCATACATTGATACTCGTGAACTGTCCAGTACCCTGTATCTTATTGTGTTAGTAGTATCCCGTTGCGCTCATGTATATATGTAAAGTGTTAAGTAACCAGATAGTCTACAAGATGCTTCGCATCTGAACTCATGAAACCCCGTACACAAATAAAGTACAAGCATGCAAATGTATATACAGGTATATATATTTGTGAATACACTTGTCTGATGGACTCACATATTCACATACATAAAGCAGTAGCCATGTATCGCTTGTTCGAGGATATATATATATATAGCATGTGCATACGCAGTGTTCTGCTGAACTGACTATCTGCATTTTTTTGTGTTGTAGCGTCTACGTTCACAAGTCACCACCTCAATAATAGCATCTTTTTTTGGGGGGTGTGATCGTGCAGCTGAATTGGGAACTTATCAGCAAGGCCTACTGATTGGTAATTATTGCTCGCGTAACTTCCGTAAGCAAACATTTGAACGATTAGAAGCGAGTAAGAGATTGTCGACGACACCACGTACTCTACCAGATTTCTGTTCTATTGATATCAGATAAGTGGTATCATGGCTGAACGTAAAATAGAATCAATACAGAAGCCATGAGATTCGAAATCAACAGGCGGCGATAAACGTACAACGTGAGGAAGCACTGGAGACCACAAAGGTCAAACGACCTATGTTGTGATTTGATAGATCACTTGCGAGTGGGTTCTTAAGTAAAACAGCCGGACACAGACTCCGAATTGAGTGACTCATCGTGACTCTTCTCATTCCCTGTCCATATAGAACACGAACTACTCGATAACGTACAGATATACTCCCATGCGCACGACGAGGGCATCGTATACATGTGCACCCCGTTATCTTATTCAAGTGCGCACCGTCTCAAGTCATATGTACTCAAGCACCAGTCACACAACATAACATGCTAGTGGACGGTTGGATCGCTCCTAGGCAAAGTACAGTGAATTCCGGTCTTAGGTAATCCAAAATGGGGCAATACAAGTAGGTATCTAAATGGTGGCATCATATGCGAGATACAAAGTATTGGTGTATGTTTATATGCGCTCTGAAATGGGCAAACGCAAGCTGCGTGATATAAGTACATACATATATACTATATGGACACTATACAGCACTCCACGTGGAGCGCATACCGGTGACACTCACTCGCTACGGTGACAATGAGTTGAGGTATTTCATTGGTCGCGAAGGAAAGTTGAGGAATTCACACAGATTTTAGAATTTAGTTTCACTGTTTCAGACTTTCAGTGTATTTTAAAAAAAATAATATATAAATACGTTGAACGTAAACGAAGCATATTTTGATATTTAAACGATATACGAATGTATAAATAGGGTAGAAAGGGTCAAACCTAATTTGAGCGTTAACGTATAAAGTTGATATTTAAACTTTATAACGTGTATGTGGGCCTGAAAGAGTAACCTTCCATAAATCATCGAATTATGCCAGTAGAGGGACTTCACACACGGTCATTGTGTATGAAAACCTCACAACTTATTATTATTTATACGTTATAACGCGAAACGTATTGAGACAGGTCTGAATGACACCACAGATATGATGCATGTATGTATGTACCGCTTTCCTTTAGACGAGTACCACGCGGTTGATGTGTGGACGAGTGCACATCGAAGAGTACTACTTAGGTTATGAAATAGACCAACAAGCACAGGTAATAGTTGGAACGGTATAACGCACAACTTCTATCACAAGGGCGACCGCATCTTCAACATGCGAAAAGGAAAGAAGCCCGAACGGTTCCTTATCATCCTCGCAGTATGTCTATTTTTAGTGTACAAGCGAATCCCTTTCTCCTGCGATTCAAGCCTAGGTAATGGTTATATTAGGTCTGTGAGCAATGCGTTATGTACGGACAATCCCAACACGCAAGGCGACGGTGAAATAGGTTTAGCTGGGAACGATACCAATGCTGAAGGCTTGCAGCAACGTGTTCCACCCGGCTCAAGGGGTAAGATCAAATACACGGATAACGGAGATGGGTCCGACAGTATTCGATCTTCGAGAGAATCAAGCGAAGAGCGAGGAGGGCAAGCGGTAGTGGCAGATAAAAGTGGGCAGAGAGATATGAGACCAGAGGCCATACAGGGAAGTGATCGAAGTGCACACAAAGCCGAAGGAACATGGGAGGTGGGTGGTGATGGTGTTATTGATCGGACGGATACTATATCGGACATCGATGATGCTAGAGACGAAGCGAAGGAACTAACGCAGGCGAACAGTAAAGAAACCCGTACGAGCGATTTGAACGTGTATAGTGGTACATGCCTACACAACGCGAAGGAAAGAGACCCTATTAATAGCCGAGTGCTGGTAGATAAAGTCGCGGAAGCAAGTAAGGAATGCCCCATCCTTCCGTTCCATATCAAGCAACCCGGAGAGGGGCATGACTGTGTACCGTTCCCAGACACCTACACGTACGATGTCCCGTTACTGGATCCACACTTGTTTCATTACAAGAACAAACGGTTTGAAGGCGTGGTGGGTCATGGAACGGTGAAGGCCTTTGTGCTGAGTACGGCATACTGCGACTTGCCCGTTATAGTGGCCAGGCAGATACAGAATGTTGGCAGCTACTGGGCTGGTGCCAAGAAGAGCCTAATTGCTAGAGGCTATCGTCACTATCCTCAAGTATGTCTATATATATATATAAATATATATATATATATATATATCAAACACACACAAATACACACACACACACACACACACACACACACACACACACACATATATATAATA